TAGACAGCTGTCCCTGCCAGGCCCTCCGTCCTGCATCACTGACAAGGAGGAAACGCGTCGGAAAATCCAGATGAACTTTCTCGGCCAATGCAGGGATCGAACACCCTACATCCAGACTAGCCAGCCAGCGTCTTACCCACTTAATATCATTTAATATCAGAGAATGTTTTCTTACCTTCTTTATATGAACAATCCATGAGATTCTGTACGGAGAGTTGAACCAGGTCACCAGTTTGTTTAAAATGTTGTCCCTCTAGAGAACCCAGAGCAGAGAAAGCCCAACAAGATCCACAATAACCCTTAAATATCAATAAAATGATATAACTATGAAATATTTTGGCGCTATCGTACTTTTATACCTCTACCAGTTCCCGTGGTCGAAATTGTCAGGGGCGGGAGGGGTGGGGGGGGGGGGCTAGCGATAACCTCACATCAAATTTCAATCGCATTTTAGCTTCTGGCGAAATATAGATCCGGGGCCTGTTTCACGAAATTTTAACTAAGATAAAATCCAAATTTTAGTAATTTGATTGGATAATATAAGATTGATTTTAGTGCTTAGCCAATCAAAATTGAAGTATCTACTAAAATTTGGATTTTATCTTACGTTAAGATTTTGAGAAACAGGGCCCTGTATTTTAATCAGATTTTATAAATTTATACATTATAGGTATCATACCTGAGTTGAAACTGGAGTGACGTAGCCTTTTGCTCTCCAATCAACTTCTGTTGGTAGACTCTCAATGTCTATATCTTTAATGTCAGTATTGTCTTCCCCAGATCTCTCTGACGTCATCTTATTTATTTTCATGGTAGCTACAAACTCTTTGTTAGTCTGAAATTAATAATGTATGTTTGAAACTGCTGATCAGTCTATGGATAATATTAGTTCGTCGGTGTTTGTCTTCATATTCGGCCGAGAAATTTTTTCCGACCTGGTTTCCCCATGTCTGTGGTGCAAGTCGGAGGGTCTCGCAAGGGACAACATATAGTCGTATCCAAGCAATAAGGAAAAGTATATACGTGCAAGCAATAGTGTGACCTTCTTAATGAGATGTAGAAACAGTGACTTAATGCTACTCATGCTCACTCACCTTTCATTCCATTGGATAGTTCCCATTGATGTTTCTATATATATATTCATATCTTTTCATTTTTATCTATTTGTGTATATGCTTGATAACGACTTGTGAAACCTTGTTGAAACGTCGCAGTGAAATAAACCATAGTAATTGTTATCCATAAAAATGTGTTTTTGAAGATATAGTCGTAGGGTTGGGACAAAAAAACAAACGACGTACCGTGTACACAATGGCGTGCACGTAAAAGACTCCTAGGCAGTTGGAATTCGATATAAGAGTAGGCAACATACAAAATTCATTTACGTGAGTGTGACGGCCAATGACCAGAATATGTCCCTCTTTTCGCTATTGATGCAAGGGCCCTGGTGACATTTGCAGCTATGGCGGTGGTATCAGGTGTTCCAAAATTAGTAATTAACAGTGTACTTAGTACCTACCATATCGGCGAACTGGTTGACAGCCAACCAGAAAGTATATTGACCTTCATCAGCTCGTTTATTATGTTCGTTTATATAATCTAGATTAGATTCCCAAATACTCCGTCTTGAAACAAAAATACAATACTTTATATCAAAATACTCCGTCTTAAAATAACAATACAATACGATATATCCAAATACTCCGTCTTAAAATAACAATAAAAAACTTTATATCCAAATACTCCGTCTTAAAATAACATTACAATTTGTTATATCCAAATACCCCGTCTTAAAATAATACAATACGTTACATCCCAATACTCCATCTTAAAAACAAGACAATGCGTTATACCGAAATACCCCGTCTTAAAATAACAATAAAAAATATTAATTTCAAATACTCTTTCTTAATATTAAAATACAAAATTCTCCGTCTTAAAATAACAAAACAATGTTGAGATCAATAACAGAAAATAAGTCCTTTGAAAAAGATTGTGTGGGATTTGGGTATTTTGTTCTGGTGCCAATTTGATGTCAGCATGGACATGCTGTAACGTAGTTTAATTAATGACCCCTTTTATTAGGGTTTGTTTTTGTTTTTTTTTGGGGGGGGGGGGCTTTGTGGTATTTTCTTTACGTCGGTTTTGATAAACTAGTAAAATTGTCACACGGCTAAACTATAATCAAATACTCTAGAAAGCATGATTTGCAACTATGATCTACAACTCACATGAAATGAAATGAAATGAAATGGGGTTTAACGTCCTACTGTTCTGCTCCTATACTTGGCTAATGATGACGGGCATACGCCATACAGTGTGCTATGAGGGAAATTTTGCCCGGGTAGCGGCACTATCGCCTACTCTTATATCGAATTCCAACTGCCAAGGGATCTTTTACGTGCATTCCAATATATACACGGGACCTCGGTTTTTCGTCTCATCTGCAGGACTAGACAGCTGTCCTTGTCAGGCCCTCCGTTCTGCAACACTGACAAGGGGAAACCACGACGGAAAATCCGATGAACTTTCTCGGCCATACACCTCACATATTGCTAAAACAATAGACTACAAATACTGTAAACATAAAATTTGATTGCAAACCTTTGATCTTGTTCATCATCCGGGTAGTTTTTATCATACGCCTGTTTAAACTTCTCCCATTCTTCATCTAATTCTGGTATACGCATGTATTTTATCTGAGCTGCTAAGATCGTTGACAGGACAGCCAACAACACGACTACTCCTTGACGATACATCTAAAATTTACATTCGCATGAAACATTATCAAGTGCACTGTAGAATGTGTTATTGATTGATAAATCGGGTTATCAATGTTGATCTGTGGGATATATCTGATATCTTGACCCGAATATAACTTTCGATATCATCACCTACACGCAACCAACAATCAACTGATATTTACAAGTTTCTTAAAAACAGAATATTAAAGACACATTATGGGAGATTCGATAACGAGTTGGCAGTTCTCACTATAATAGTTAAAAACTAGATAATGTAAAGGCAATTTGCTGAAAATTTCAGTCAAATTGATCCGCTATGAACCGAGAAATAAGCGATCGAAAGTTCCGCATAGCCTCGGTCATCATTACTAAAGTCGGTTAATCGAGTTAATCGTAAAATCGAGAAGGAAAGTTATGCAGCAAATCGGATCATAATCCAACAATTATCGCAGGCTAGCGTTGACATCGAGAGTTGCTTATGGTTTGGATAAGTTAATTAATGTCTAATAATTTAGATAACATTTCAGGCCTAAAGAAAGACCTACTATAAGCATATTTAGCTCTTGCATAATGTATGTTTAAGTGAACTGTTTATTATGTCGTTGAAGGAAGAGGAAGGGTCTGCAGGGGAAAGTGCCATTGTGTCTCAGCGCACGTAACGATTTGTATAACTATGCACATTATGGAGAGAGAGAGAAATGGGGTTAAACGTCCACTCGACACAAACTAGGTAATTTCAGGACTAACGTATGGTTCAATTTTATTTCAATAATTCGCTTGCGCGTAGGGGTCATTAGCAGTGGGAGGACACCGGAGAAAACCCACGAGATTGGACAGTTGACTCAATGACAGACGTTAAGATACAACGTGCACACGCTACCCCCCCCCCCCCCCCTCAGCACCAGCCCCCTATGCACTTTATAAAATGTACTAGGAAAATCAATCCTACCTTTCTATCTCGTGTTGTGATATGACACTGACAAGATATGATCTTCTTTCATTTAACACCTTTATATTTAAAGATACATCAGTCTCGTGCTTTGATAACATATTGTAGATGACGCGTTATCAAATAGTACAGTATCTTAACTGAATATCTGCCTGACTCATTTGGCATCTAGAAATAGACACAAAACGGGTCGCAAATCATAAAATAATGTAATATGAATGTATATAAACTGATTTACATTCAATCTTTTCTGTTTTAATTGTAATTTCTAATCAGTTATATTCGGCAAAATACGCGAAGGGCCCAAATTTAATGGAGTCTTTCGCGTCTGGCTATTCCAGTCTACACCGATAGTCGCGTCATTACAAATGGCACTCGAAAGCATTCTGGCACGCGATTCGTGTGCCAATTTTACAATTTTCCATATTGTCTTGGATAACAGAAGCCCAACATCAATGTTAATTTAAATTCACCATTTCATTTCATTTCACGCTTAGAGCTTAGTCACCACTCTATAGGTCAGAACAGTAGGACGTTACACCCATTTCAATTCACGCTTAGAGCTTATAGTCACTATGTCAGAACAGTAGGACGTTTAACCCCTATTTCATTTAATTTCTACTCTATAGGACTTGACTTTAAATCTATTATCCGTAAGCCAATTTAAAGAAATTTCGATTCCAGAAAAATTTATAACACATGGAATGATCGATGCCCGAAAACTGTGGCACATTGCAGAAAGACTTCTGACCAACAAAATGTCAAGGGATTTCGGGCACTTTTTTGCCGATTGAAAGGTAAAACGGTTTGTTTCTTTCCTAAAAAATATTACTGTATATTCATTTTATTTTCACTTTGTCCGTGTATACTCCGGCAGGGCACGTTAGAGATTCATTAAGTTGATAGGGAATAGCCCTGTCCATCCAATTCCCAAACAACTACAGAGAGAGAGAGAGAGAGAGAGAGAGAGAGAGAGAGAGAGAGAGAGAGAGGTTTAACGTCCACTCGACACAAACTAGGTCATTTCGGGACTAAAATATGGTTTCAATTTTATTTCAGTAATTCGCTTGCGCGTAGGGGTCTTTAGCAGTGGGAGGAACCGGGGGACCCGGAGAAAACCCACGAGGTTGGGCAGGCGACCCTACTCCTTGTCACGTACAACCGGGGATTCGAAACCACGCCATTTGACTCAATGGCAGGCCTTATGATACAGCGCGCACGTGTTAACCCCCCCCCCCCCCAAACAACAACAATCATGACAACAAACAAGTATTATCATTTTATTAACAACATAACAATTTCGGGAAGACTCTTCATCTGAAGGACAGTGCCAACCTGGAGTACAGTTCAGACTATGGGATAACTGGCCAGGTTAGCAATACCGCAGTTGTTATTCCTGTTTCTAGACATCATTATATAACCATGTTGAAATCCCCAATCGGTACCATAACTAAAATAACACAATGTTAAACATATATATGTACATTAAACAGGAGCTAAATCTGTCTATTTCATGCCACGAGTTTACAATGCATTCTCAGACTTAAGTTAAGAATTTACGCAAATTGTTTGCCTTATTTTAACTAAAGTATAGCCCTTTATAAAGCTTTTGTTGTTTTAATGCATCAAATACATCAATAAGAAACTATATGCAAAGTTTTGTGTATCTGGATCAAAGATATTTCTCATAAACAGTAATTGAAAGTTGAGTAAATTCTTAACTTAAGTCTGAGAATGCATTGTGAACTCGTGGCCAGGTCTTTCTTTGGGTCTGAAATGTTATCTAAATTATCCAGACCATAATCAACTCTCGATGTCATCGCTATTCTGTGATATTTACTGGATTTGAATCTGATTTGCTGCTCAATGCTCATTGATGATTTAATCCAAAAACTGGATAATCGAGACTATGTTTTTTTTATCGTAGCGACTTAAGTAATGATGATCGAGACTAGACCTAAAATTCAAAATCTAATATCTCGGTTTAGAGTGGGTCAATTTGACTGAAATTTTCAGCATATTCTCTTTACACTATCTAGTTTTTAACTATTATAGTGAGAACTGCCAGCCCTTTATCTAATCTCCACAAATGCCATTTTAACAGAATTTAAATAAATAAAATACAAGATAAATACTGCATGGTTTATGATTTGTTGTTATTGCTTGTCTAAATATATAAGGGGGAGGGGGGATGGCCGAGTCAACTGGCGGGGTTTCGATTCCCCGGTTGTACGTGACAAGGAGTAGGGATGCCTGTCCAACCTCATGGGTTTTCTCTGGGTCCTCCGGTTTCGTCCCACTGCTAAAGACCCCTACGCACATCCGAATTATTGAAATAAAATTGAACCATATGTTAGTCCCGAAATGACCTAGTTTGTGTAGAGTGGACGTTAAACCCCATTCTCTCTCTCTCTCTCTCTCTCTCTCTCTTCCATAAGTATGTGTTATAGTTTATTGCTCTATCCAGTTACTAAATGCCTGAAAGTTCTGTTATTCACCCCATGGTATTCAGACATCTACTATACTTGTAAAAAGGTTTAGGGTTGAACAGCGTAACGCGTGCGCTTTAGATCATAAAGTCTTTCACTGAGTCTAGTGGCCTGTCTTCATCGATTCGGCTGGTGCGATAAGTAAGACGTTGAGTTAAACCCTAGAATAAACACGCCAATTTGTGAGACCTGAGGAAGGAAAGGTCAGCGCAAATTGAATATCGATAGGGTTCACCCTTTCATGGCCATCATGCTTCACATCCAATTTGAGACGAATCCGTCAAAAACTACAGCCGAATTGTTCACAGACCGACGGCCAGGGTGACGACATTATGTGGGCGTATACAAAAAAATTCTACTAGATTTACCTTTCTTTAACCATCCAATATTCTGTACCATTGCTAGTGACACCATAACCAGTTACAAGATTGGCATGATCCAGTTGGTTTGGATTACACGCGGGTTCGTAATAGACACCGTTCTTATAAAATTGGTAGGATGAGTGTGCGGCGTCTATGGCAACGCTGATGGGTCCAACCATAGCAACGGCCTTCTGTAAAGCTGCTTCACTGCCTTTAGGTATATCAACATAGCTCTTTAATGTAGCTCCAACATTTTCCCGTTTAAACAAACATTTTGTACCATCCTGAAATAATAATGTAATCATTAAAATACTTTGATGTGCTGCCAGAAAATACTTCCTGTCGGAAAACATAATTTTGACTCTATTCTTTGCCGCGTACATCTAGGAATCGAAACAGCAACCTGATTCAATGATACATCTTATAATATAAAGCGCAAGCGATAAACCACTCGCTTCAACCTCTCTCTCTTTAGCTGTTAAGGGACTAAGCACGGTTAGTGCTAAATAAAAGGCCTGCTCAATGTTTCGTCATAGGTCACGAGATGTAAACCGGGCTAGCGCTAATCCCAACCCTAACTTGGACCTAGCCCCAATGCTAACCCTAACGCTAACCTACAACATCGTCAACAATCACGTGCCCTAACCTTATTGACACCCCAGCGACCTTGACAGAAATTGAGCTGGCCATAACAAATAGATTTAGCCGACTAAGCACGGACATACCCACATTGACCAGCAGTGAATATTCGCTCGGTCGCTACAAACACTGATAGGGATGACATCGGTGCGGCTTAATGAGTCCCCAATATTATTTTTTTTTCCTTCTGCAAATTAAGTATTAGAAAAATAAAGGTGTTTGAAGTATTTGTAGGTAAACAATATTTCCTTTTTAGTGTAAATGGGTATTAAAATGAGTAAAAGGCACCATTCTGCTCGGACCAGTAAAGATATAAACAATGCACGCCCCATTGAGCCAATGATTGACGCCGCGAGATGTGACGTCATATATGTTGAAAGCAGCCATCTTTTACAGAGTTATTTTAAAAGACTTTCGTTACACTCTGTGAAATATATTGAGTCATACCAAGGTGGAAGTATTACCCAATTTCGTTTCAAATTTTTTTTTTTTTTTTTTTTGCACACTGGTACGTATCCATGGAACCATTTCACACAAACCCATCGGTATTAAGATATTAAGTTGGCTGAATTCAGAAACTTACCCTTGCTGTATAAGGATAAGATGCAGCAGTGTCAACTCCATTATTTATTTTAATATATTTGTACGAGTCGATCATAAAACCGCCATTACAACCATTGTTACCTACATAGGAATAAGGTCAGTTAAACCAATGCAACAAAATTAGGGGATATATCATGAAAAGCATAGACATACGCACACACAGCAGCCATGTCGCGAAGAAAATGTTTCGGGCATGAAATATATCTCGGTAACAGTAAACTCCTAGAATAATCAAAATCAACATGGTTCATCTTCTCCGATTCCAAATTTGAAAAATATTGGGGTTCGCCATCAGCTTGAAAAACAATAGAATTCGTCTTCGGAAAGCCTTACAGATTCACACCAAATTTGAAAGAAATCCATTAAAAACTGTAGGGTGGTTGGATGGCCGAATGGTTAGCGCGTGCGAGTTGTATCATAAGGTCTGTCATTGAATCAACTGGCGTGATTTCGATTCCCCGGTTGTACGAGAGAAGGCGTTAGATCGCCTGTTCATCCTCGTGGGTTTTCTCCGGGTCCTCCGGTTTCTTCCCACTGCTAAAGACTTCTACGCCCAAGCGGAATAATGAAATAAAAATTGAACCCTATATTAGTCCCGAAATGACATAGCAGAGGGTCGCCGAGCGCTGAACATCTCGCAAAGTTGACAAAAGGAATCCGTTAAATACTGTTGCGTTGCGTTCACAAAGTTTTCAGAAAAGAGTTAGTAACGGTCGTGGAACGCTGATAATCGACGGGGTTCATAATCTCGTGACCGCAATGCTACAGCTCCAATTCCACGAGACCTTTTCGTCTCTCCCAAACGACTATAGACAAACTTTTTGAAAAATAGGAAACAGGCCTGAACAAATCCTTTAAATGTCTTGTCAGTAATTTTAGGTTCCTTCATGATTGAAAATCCAACATCTTAACTTATATACACAGTAGAGTATTTTTCTCATGCGTTCGTTAAACCCCGTGAAAACCGCTAATAAGCTAATAGCGGTTAGTCCGATACTTAAAACAACAGTTTTACCGGAAGTAGCAGATAATATGCAAAGCGGAAGTAGTATTTTGTCTCTCACCTTCTTTCTGTGAACAATCCATGAGATTCTGGGCTGAGAGTTTAACCAGGACACCTGTTTGTTTAAAATGTTGTCCCTCTAGAGACCCTAGAGCAGAGAAAGCCCAACAGGATCCACATTGACCCTTAGAAAATAATAAAAGGGAAACTGATTATTTTCATTTCAACTTCGAAATATTTTGTCACCAGGCGAACATACGTTCTGTATAGTGTTATCAAATCTAGTTTCCATTAGAGGCTGTCTCAGTTGATAATTATATTAAAACAGGAAAAGAGATTGACTTGCCATGAAAATTATGGGAAATGAAATGAAATGGGGTTTAACGTCGTACTTTTCTGCTCCGATTGGGCTAATGAAGACGGGCATACACCATACAGTGTGGTATGAGGGTTTTTTTTCCACGGACAGCGGCGCTACGTCCTACTACTCTTATATAGAATTCCATCTGCCAAGGGATTTTTTATGTGCACGGCATTGTACATACGTTACCTTGGGTTTTCGTCCCATCCGAACGGATATACGTTGTCCCTTGCAAGACTGTTGGTCCTGCACCATTGACAATGAGAAACCACGCCAGAAAAACTCGATGAATTTCTCGGCCAACGCAAGGATCGAACGCGAGACCCCAGGTTAGCAGCCAACGCCTTTCTCACTGAACCAACGTGGCTCCCTGAAATTTATGGACAAAGTGGATTGTTACAGTAAAATCCTACACTAGCGGCCATTTTAAACTGGCCATGTTCTATTATAAAGTATAAACTGTGCGAGATTCATACCTGATTTGAAGCGGGTGTAACGTAACCTTTTGCCCTCCAATCAACTTCTGTTGGTAGACTCGCAATGTCTACATCTTTAAATTCAGTATTCTCGTCCCCAGATCTCTCTGACGTCATCTTATTCATATTCATAGTTGATACAAATTCTTTGTTAGTCTGAAAAGTATAAGAAATGTACATTTCAGACCAAGATTGACGGGAGATATTTATTGATGGTGACTGAAAGCTGATTCGGGGAGTATATTTAGTGTAGCTTCCACGATAATCTCTTGTCTGCGATATCGCACTAGGTGTAAGCGAACGTTAAGCACAATACACACAAACACGCGCACATACACGCTCTCGCCACCCACACACACACGACAATCTCAACGTTTCGCCTAACGCAGGTGACAACTATAAAATAGCCATGGAAACAACATAGCTTCCTCGCCTAGGACAGGAAATCATACTTTATAACTACCCAATCTTACCAATACACGTGGAATATTATGGATGAAGTTGAATTAAATATGTACACCCTTTAAAGGAGCTAAAACTTTAACTCGGTATTTCCAACTCCTAATATCCAATATTTAAGACACAATGAACATTTTATAACCAATACACATGTCGTGTATTCTATGGTTTCGAGTGTCATTTGAGCACAGAAGAACATATCCTTCAAGACGTCAGATCCTATTTCGTTTCGTTTTTCAAAGTTCAAAATTTCGTTTTACTTGTCTTCACAACAATGTAGTGTAGACCATCGAAAGTATAAAGAAAAACGAAACGAAATATAGTTAGAAATTATTTGCCAGAACCATACCCAGTAATTAAGCTAGAACTGCTTGGAAATAAACAGTTTATTGTATTCAATATATGACAAAGGTCATAGAATGCGAGCATCGGTGTATATTAATAAAAGAATATTATATTAGTTAAACATACATTATGCAAGTATTTATTTAGGCTTCAGATGTTATACAAATTATTAATTAGACCTTTATTTACATGACAAGCTCAAAATCAACTCTGTAGACCCTCGGATCGTTTGGATACAGCTTGGATTTAAACAGTCGTCCATTTAAAATAAAATTACGAAGGTAACGTTTACCGTTAGTCACTGACGTCACCAGCGGAAACTGGTTTTGAAAGGCCCCAAGTGAGGGTACCATAGCCATTGAGAATGTTACTTGATAATCGAGAATATATGAGCCGAGTTATCGTCTGCCAATCAAACGATCGGCAATTTTGGTAGACGATGATAACACAGTTGATGCCTATTTCTAGTCCAAACTTCCAACAGTGACAACTCCGTTCAGAATAAAGTAATTGGACTGAAATTTTCAATATTATTATAGCAAAAATGGGCAATTCTTTATTAAATTCTTAACTAATGTATCTTTAATTGTATCCAATCTTACTCCACAAATTCTACCAAAAAAGGCAACGCAGACAAATAAACAACCCAACGTCCCCTTACTTACCATATCAGCAAACTGGTTGACAGCCAACCAGAAAGTATATTGGCCTTCATCAGCTCGTTTATTATGTTCGTTTATATAATCTAGATTAGCTTCCCAAATACTCCGTCTTAAAATAACAATACAAAACGTTATATCCAAATACTCCGTCTTAAAATAACAATACAATACGTTATATCCAAATATTCCGTCTTAAATAACAATACAATACGTTATATCCAAAATACTCCGTTTTAAAATTTCAAAAAAATACGTTATATCCGACTATCCCGTCTTAAAATAACAAAACAATACGTTATATCCAAATACTCCGTCTTAAAATGACAAAACAAAAAAAAATAAAGGAATTGTTCTGATTTGATTTAAATGGAACGGGATAGGATTTTCTTCTAATCGCACTTCCAGATTCGATCTCGGGATATTCTTGTCGAGAGTGTCGTGTACTGTCAAGTCCCCCCGCCCTCCCACTACGGTTAGGTTTACATAATCAGCATTGGCTTATCAAATACTCTTTCTTAAAATAGTTATACAAAACTTCATCCAAACTTTCATCAAGCGATTTAATGAAACACATTCGACTTGAGATGATGACTCAAAACAGATGTGTGAATTGGGTAGGGGAAAGGGGGAAGGGGTGCTCAGTGTCTATAGCAGGTGCAAAGATGTTGCGAATCCAGGTTTTGTATCATGCACATCTCATAGAATTCACTTCTAGCCACATCTGTTCCTTAAAATAAACCTCACACTATCTTATAAACTTTGTCTACTTTCCTTGGAGGATTTGTATTGCCTTTACGTGGTAGTAATATGGAGGGAAAAAATTTGTGCTTTGAAACATCTATGTAAAATAATATTAGGGTTGTGATTAATTATTCTCCATTGTCAAAATATTAGCTATGGTATAAGTTAATTCTGAAACGCAAATTAAAATTGTTTATGAATATTGTGACACTGACAAGACATGGGGTCTGAAGACAAGAATGTAGAAATATGATGGCTAAAACAATAGCGTTATCTTTCATATTATTGATTCTAACATCATAACCACAAATATAGTAAGTTGATACGTTAACTGAGCTATAGATTAATGAACATGTTGGTCATACACAATTTCTTTGTTATAAAACATATATCATATTTGTTGACCAAATAAGGTAACAATCCGTGGCGATGTTCAGTTTGAGGTGCATGTCCTTTCCATATTTAGAACTTAGTTGTTATCAGTCTTTAGATTAACACCCCAGACAAAGGAATAGGTACTTATAAAATAGGGTGGGGAAATAGCAATCGGCAGAGCCCACTCCGCCGGTCATACAAGCCATTTAGTTATTTAAGAAAAGAACCTGAACTGTAGTTGTAACTTCGTCACGGAAGGAAACACAGCGTGAAGATTGAATATTGAAGATTGACCATCTGATAGTACTACAGCGTCACAGAATTCTGATTAACAGGAAATGTGTCTTCATTACTTTCTTGATAGCGATACCTGTATGTGTATCGAAACGTCTACTAAATTCAGAAGTATTATATCCATATAAGTGTGCTAATTTTATAAAATTTATCTGTTTACCTTTGATCCTGTTCATCATCCGGGTAATTTTTATTATAGGTCTGTTTAAACATCTCCCATTCTTCATCTAATTCTGGTATACGCATGTATTTTATCTGAGCTGCAAACACTGTTGACAGAACAGCCAACACTACTACTCCTTGACGATACATCTAAAATTTACATTAATATGAAACATTATCAGAATGCATGAATTGATCGAACCAAGTTGAGTCTTAAACATGAAATACTAAAAGCCCTAGAAATTCCATTTAATGTGCAACAACAACAGCAACAATGTCTCAGTTATGGTAGGCAGTGACGGACGCAGGAGATTTGACAACAGTGAGGAGGGGAAGCGGGGTGGGGGGGGTGGGGCTCCGAGACATTGAGGGTTGTCATGGTGATCTGTGGCTATATCTGGTTCCGCAAGTGCTGCGGTGTCTGAGTGCCCGTTGCCATTTGTATAAATCATACTAAACTTATGCTGCCCTGTCTACAATTAGCTCCGGTTACACACAAATCGGCGATTTTAGTCTAAAACACTAAGTACATTTCGAGAAATTTGACAAGTTTTAATTCTGTTCCCAATTACTAAAACTGAAACGGTTTATTTAGTCCTTGTGTGTATGACAGGTGTGAAACAGAGTAAAACCGTTCTGCAAAACAGTGTTTTAGTTTTTGGATATGGCGGCCATTTAGGGCAGAGATCGATTCTCAAAGAAGAGTAGATAGTTTAAATTGTGCAGAATGTTGTATACAATTTAGAATTATATGAATTGTGAAATTCAATCTTACCTTTCTATCTCGTGTTGTGATATGATAATGACAAGATATGATGATCTACTTTCGTTTAGCACCTATATATTTAAAGCGACACCTATCTCTCGTGCTTTGATAACATATTTTAAATGATGTGTATCATATGACGAAATACTTTCGTATCAGAGTACAATTTTGTATTTTCGTATTTAACCAAATGGACAGGTCATTCGGGTGGTTGTGTTTGGCCCGAGGTTATTTTAAATCTAGTAGCCATCGCCTTATGAAGTCCAGGTACAAATCATTGCTCTAGTTAGCGAGACATGTGTCGTGCGACATGTTTTCGTTAGGGATTTGCTGTGCGTTTGCATCTTAAAGAAATGTCCAATTAAATGATAGGAACCCCGCTCTTAGCCAGCCGATGATAACAAACATTACATACAGGATTGGTCCATTACTAAAATCTACCATGATTACAAACCATAGCGAACAGTTATTCTTGCCAGGAACACAAAATCATTAGAGCAATTTGGTATCTGAAATGGCACATTTTTTAAACAAAATCCGGATTTTACGTCACATGTCAATTGCTTTCTTAAATTGGGTGGATGGTGTACGGTACCGATTACTATTTTCTGAACATTTATTAATTTATTCATTAATTTTTAGCGTTTTCCAAAATTCAATCCGGATTATCGTTCTTATTTTTGTTAAATTTCAGACGTTCCCCTAGTGACGTCAACGTAACTGACAGACAACCGCCATTTAGGAGACGACCACCGCAAAGACCGGTCTTGTAAATCTCTTATTTTTTCATTTCGACCGAAGCCTGTGTCATTACAGGCCCGGGACTATACAGAGCAGTGGACGCGCAAGGGCTAAACCCCGGATCCATTCATGATATTTGTTGTTTATTTCTTGCAATATCTGTATATTTTGTCCCCGGATTTGTCGTATTGGTTTTGCTTTGTGTGTACATACACTGTTTGTACATACAGATGTAGTAGTAGTAGTATCTTGGTTCTTTAACTTCCACTGAAGTGATATCGCAGACAAGACCTAGGAGAGCCGAAGCTTCTTCCTGTTTATTTAGAATATGATTTTGCAATCTCTCTATTACGGCCTAAGGCCATGGAGTGGGTTTAGTGGGAAGCTCTTCCCTTTATTGGTGGTAGATCTTCTTCTCTGGATTTTAGTTTTTAGGTGCCAGGCCCGTCTTATCGTAACCTTCGCTTACTCCACTAAATACAGATGACAATAGCTAATTATATATAACCTCCACAAGATCACGTGGGTTTATTTATGTCCTAGATAAGATCACGTGAGTTTATTTATATCCTAGATAAGATCACGTGGGTTTATTTATAACCTAGATAAGCTCACGTGGGTGTATTTATAACCTAGACGGGATCACGTGGGTTTAGTTTAGTCCGTAATAAACGGGAATACGTGCGCTAAAATTTCCAGCGACTGAGAGGTGGGGGGGGGGGGGGTCCCATATCTTGAGTGACAGCAGAGATCAGGTGTTCAAGGTCTTCGACCTCTGAGAAATAACAAAAACAAAATCACCTGTAAAATTCAACCCAATCGACTGATGAATGATAACTCATTTTAAACCTTGGTTGCAAGATATTTTACACCTACCACGTCGACCGTCCATGGATTTCTCATTTAGAACTAATGAAATAAAATAAAATGGGGTTTAACGCCTGCTGTTCTGCTTCGACTGGGCTAATGAAGACGGGCATACGCCAAACGACAAACCCGCGGACAAAATACACAGACATTGCAAGAAACAAACAACAAGTATCATAAAAAAAAATACAATCACCAGTGATTGTATTTCCATATAAACTGTGTTGTGTTTTTTAATATGTTCAATCGCTAAATGCCACTCAAGGATTAAACAAGTATCATGAATGGATTCGGGGGTCAGCCCTTACGCGTCCACTGTGCTGTACAGTCCCGGGCCTGTAATGACACAGGCTTCGGTCGAAATGAAAAAACAGAGATTTACAAGACAGGTGGTCGTCTCCTAAATGGCGGTTGTTTGTCAGTTACGTTGACGTCACTAGGGGAACGTCTGAAATTTAACAAAAATAAGGACGATAATCCAGATTGAATTTTGGAAAACGCTAAAAATTAATAAATAAATTAATAAACGTTTAGAAAATAGTAAACTGTACCATCCACCCAATTTAAGAAAGTAATTGACATGTGAGGTAAAATCGGAATTAAGTTCACAAAATATACAATTTCAGAGACCAAATTGTTCAAATGATTTTGTATTCCTGGCAAGAATAACTGTTCGCTATGGTGTGTAATCATGGTCAGTCTTAGTGACGGATCAAGCCTCAATCCGAATAAAATACAGATCTATATTTCGGTTTTTTTTTTATACTTCCGATGGCCTCTACTGATGAAGATCTGATCGGTTGTAGTGGAAGTTCGCGTCAGAGGTCATACGGGCGGCTTTTGACCCTGTTGATGTTTCCAGTGGGGTGCCCACACTTCCGTGCACGTCACACCAAAAACTCGCCGTAACGGACAGTTTCATTAACTAATCCCTCACACCATCCTTCATATTATGTAACAGCTCTTCCTGATCCTAGTGTATTAAAGACAAGTAGAACTATAAATAACGAAACGAAATAGGATCTGTGTTTTAATCAGACTGGACCAAGTCTGTATCTAATGGGGGGGTTGGATGGCTTTATGGTTAGCGTGCGCGCGCTGTATCATAAAGTCTGTCATTGAGTCGACTGGCGTGGTTTCGAATCCCAGGTTGTACGTGGCAAGGAGTAGGGTCGCCTGTCCAACCTCGTGGGTTTTCTCCGGGTCCTCCGGTTTCCTCCCACTGCTAAAGACCCCTACGCGCAATTGAATTATGTAAATAAAATTAAACCATATGTTAGTCCCGAAATGACCTAGTTTGAGTCGAGTGGACGTTAAACCCCATTTCTCTCTCTCTCTCTGTATCTAATATTTGTTATCGTCGGTTGGCTAATAAAGAAAACTTCAGCGGTTCCTGTGATTTAATTTGACATTTAAACGTACGACAACTCCATAAGGAAAACAGCTGTGTCATGTGTTTTAAAAAGTGTAAACATACCCTTAATGTCGCACGACACATGTCTTGCTAACTAGAGCAATGATTTGTACCTTGATTTTAGAAGACGATGACTGCTAGATTTAAAAAACCTCGGGTCAAACACAACCACCCGAATTACCTGTCCATTTGGTTAAATATGAAAGTACGAAATTGTACTCTGATACAAAAGTATTTCGTCATATGATGCACACCATGCACACGTTATCAAAGCACGTGAGAAAGGTGTCGCATTAAATATAAGGGTGTTATATTTAGATCTTGTCATTGTGATATCAGTGCACGAGATAGAAAGGTAAGATTGAATTTCACAATACATATAATTCTAAACTGTATACAACATTCTGCACAATTTAAACTATCTACTCTACTTTGAGAATCGATCTCTGCCCTAAATGGCCGCCATATCCAAAAACTAAAACACTGTTTTGCAGAACGGTTCTACTCTGTTTCATAACTGCCATGCACACAAAGACCAAATAAACTGTTTCAATTTTATTAAATGGAAGCAGAATTAAAACTTGTCAAATTTCTCGAAATGTACTTAGAGTTTTCGACTAAAATCGCCGATTTAGGAATTAAAATGCTTTGTGCTTAATTAATTGTATACAAATAGTTTAAGTTTAGTATGATTTATACAAATGGCAACGGGCACAAGGGTAGGGGGTGCATTCAGACACCGCAGTACTAGCGGACCTGATCACCATAGACAACCCTCATTTTAGAAATTGTCTCGGAGGAATCTCCCGTCCACACACCTCCCCAACCTTTTCAAATAACCTGCACCCGTCATTGCCTGAGACATTGTTGTTGTTGCTGTTGCTGCACATCCAATGAAATTTCTAGTACATGTACTTTGAATATTTCATGTTTAAGACTCAGTCTGGTTCGAAAAATTGCTGCATTCTGATAATGTTTCATATTAATGTCAATTTTAGATGTATCGTCAAGGAGTAGTAGTAGTGTTGGCTGTTCTGTCAACAATCTTTGCAGCTCAGATAAAATACGTGCGTATACCAGAATTAGATGAAGATTGGGAGAAGTTTAAACAGACGCATAATAAAAACTACCAAGATGACGAAGAGGATCAAAGGTAAACACATATTTTTTTTGGTATAAAATTAGCAGACTTATAGGGATATACTACTTCTTAATTTATTAACATGCTACGTTTCGATACACATACAGGTATCGCCAAGCAAATAATCACTAAGTATTTCCTCAAAGTAAATTTTATATGAACTAAGCTTATCATTTCTCAGCTGTTTGGTACGCTAGAGCGTGAACATTTTATGAAGACTTTGTGGCTAGAGGTCTATTATTTTGTATTTTTATTGTTATTTTAAGACGGAGTATTTGGGAAGCTAATGTAGATTATATAAACGAACATAATAGACGAGCTGATGAAGGCCAACATACTTTCTGGTTAGCTGTCAACAAGTTCGCTGATACGGTAAGTAACAATTACACCGTATATCATGAAGGTCAATGTACCTTCTGGTTAGCTGTCAACCAGTTGGCTGATATGGTTGGTACTGATTACACTAATCTATATATACATGTATATATATATAATATATATATATATATGAAATAAAAAGTTAGACTGTTAGCATTGTTTATATAACCCGTTGAAATGAAATGGGGTTTAACGTCCTACTGTTCTGCTCCGACTAGACAAATGAAGACAGGCATACGCCATACAGTGTGCTATGAGGGAAATTTTGCCTGGACAGCGGTGCTACGGCCTACTCTTATATCGAATTCTAATCATCAAGAGATCTTTTACGTGCACTTCAATATGTACATGGGACCTCGGCTTTTCGTACCATCCGCACGACTATACATTTTCACTTGCCAGGTCCTCGGTCCTATAACCCATTGCAAAACTAAGAGCTGAAATATGTACTAGGATGTTAACCCTGATCCAATGAAAACGCCGCATCCGTAGAATTTGTTAGTTTTAATGAATACGTCCCCAGGGCAGAAGTCAGTTTCAAGAAGCGTGTGCATATTTTACTAACACGCAAGTTCCAATCAGATTAAAACACAGATCCTATTTCATTTCGTTTTTTATAGTTCAATATTTCGTTTTACTTGCCTTCACTACACTAGTGGAGATCATCGAATGTTTAAAAAAACGAAACGAAATATATTTTAATCAGAAGGACGCAAGTTCTATAGTCTTTGTGAAACTATCGAAACTATCGACGCCCTCAACTTCGTCGGAGTCTAGACTCGTCACCCCCTTATCACATTTCTGAGTACTAGACCCTATCCTTGAGTCTTGGAGTTTACAATCAAGGTTTTGGCCCCCAGGCATCACCAACCCTTCTCGGATATTGTCACACATTATCGGTCAACGGGTCTTAATTATTTGGTAAGACGGCGTATTTACTGTCCTAGGCGAGGAAGTTTTATGGTTTCCGAGGTCGTTCTTATCGTTGTGGACTGCGTTAGGTTATGAAATGAAATGGGGTTTAACGTCCTACTGTTCTGCTACTTGGCTAATGAAGACGAGCATACGCCATACAGTGTACTATGGGAAATTTTGCCTACTGTCAAGGGATCCTTTACGTGCACGCCAATGTGTACACGGGATCCCGGTTTTTCGTCACATCCGAACGACTAGACAGCTGTCCTTGTCAGGCCCTCCGTCTAGCATCGCTGACAAGGGGGAACCACGCCGGAAAATCTGGATGAACTTTCTCGGCCAATGCAGGGATCGAACACCCGACCTCCAGGCTAGGGAGTCAGCGTCTTACCCACTTAGCCACCAGTCAAATAAATCTTGGTCTCAAATATACACAACTTTTACTTTTCAGACTAAAGAAGAGTTTGTAGCTACCATGAAAATAAATAAGATGACGTCAGATAGATCTGGGGAAGAGAATACTGAATTTAAAGAAATAGACATTGAGAGTCTACCAACAGAAGTTGATTGGCGGGCTAAAGGTTACGTCACGCCAGTTCCAGATCAGGTTTGAATTCCCCGAAGTTAATTCTCTATCATAAAACATGACCGGTTTAGGCAAGTTTAAATGACCGCTAGTGTGGGTTTTTACTGTAAAACGCTACCATGCACATTGAAAGCTAATGAACTATTGCTTTTTAAATATAAATATCGACTGTTAAAGATGGTTGAAAGTCGTCTAGGCAGCAAATGAAAACAAAATATATGGACATTAGATTCGTAGTTGAAATAGAAAGAATCAGTTGATTTTTTTAATATTTTAGAAACAATGTGGATCAGGTTGGGCTTTCTCTGCTGTAGGTTCTCTAGAGGGACAACATTTTAAACAAACTGGTGTCTTGGTTCAACTCTCAGCCCAGAATCTCATGGATTGTTCACAGAAAGAAGGTGAGACAAAATACCATTTCCTACGTGCATATTATCTTCTACTTCCTGTAAAACTGTTTACATTCTGGATTGTATCCGAATTTCAACATGGGTCCGAATACACCTCCACTATAGAGGTCCTCCTCGGTTGATTATAAAAGTTACTACTGTTGGGGGTTGGGATGGCCTAGTGGTATAGAGTGCCGCGCCTCGACCTCTAACTGGCCGGTCACCTCTGGCTTGCTGCTGTGGTTTCGATCCCTGGTGTGAGCGTATGTGGCTTGGAGATAGGGGCGCCTTCTTAACCTCGTGGGTTTACTCCGGGTACTCCGGTTTCCTCCCACAGGAAGGAGAGGACGCCTGCGCGTGGGCTAAGATAATGAAAATGAAAAATAAGACTTGTCTGCGATATCACCTTCGGTGGAAGCGGACGTTGAACACCGAGAACAACAACGATATCACTACTGTGAAAATTGACGTTGAACCCACTACTAGTTACAGACTACAGACATACACAGCTTAACTTTCAGGCTATTAATAGTTTTCAATCATTAATGGAGTTGCAAATAATCTGGGGTCTGTTTTTCAAGCTCCGTTAACTTTTAACGACTCGTTAACATGGAGATAATGAATCGCTATCTTTAACGGAGAGAAAGTCTGTTGCTTGAAGCCCCGTTAACTTTAACATGTCGTTAACTTGCCGTTATATTTAACGGAGGTGTTGGGCTCCGTTATCTGTTTAACGATGGCATTAGTCAGCTGTCAATGGAAGTATACCGTTAGCAAAAAGTCATAGATAACCAGTGTAATTTTCTATAGAACAATCTAGAGGGTTGGGCGATGGAAGACGAACCTTATAGTTCGCCTGTATGCCCTCTTTTCCGAAAACATTGTGAACGCGATAGAAGCAGCGGGTTTTAATGGATTTCTTCAAATGTTGTGTAAAACATTGGAACTGTGACAGGATTGTTTGTCTAAATCCAGCACTGTAGAGACGTGTCTGGAAAAGCTGAACTCGAGGGCGGTTACATTTCTTGAAGGTATCAGTATAAAAGTAGACCAACATTCTAGTATTCCTATATGGTAAACTGGGGGGTTGGATGGCCGAATGGTTAGCACGCGCGCGCTGTATCATGAGGCCTGTCATTGAGTCAACTGGCGTGGTTTCGAATCCCCGGTTGTACGTGACAAGGAGTAGGTTGCATGTCCAACATCGTGGGTTTTCTCCGGGCCCTCCGGTTTCCCCCCACTGCTAAAGACCCCTACGCGCAAGCGAATTATTGAAATAAAATTTAACCATATGTTAGTCCCGAAATGCCCTAGTCTGTGTCGAGTGGACGTTAAACCCCATTTTCTCTCTCTCTCCCTCTCTCTCTCTCTCTCTCTCTCTCTCTCTATATATATATATATATATATATATATATATGGTAAACTGTTGTCTTTTGCTATCTCATTTTCGAGACATACCTGTTCTGTGGGCGTATTTAGATGCTTTGCTTGGCTATCTCTATATGATGTATCTGTTAATTGTTATGCAAGGGTATAATTTATTTTTATTCCTATGTAGGTAACAATGGTTGTAATGGCGGTTTAATAGATAACTCTTTTAAATATATTAAAATAAATAATGGAGTTGATACTGCTGCATCTTACCCTTATACAGGAAAGGTAATGTCCCCTAATATCAGACCTCTGAACACACCAAGGGCAGATCACCCTTAAACAAGTATTACTTCTTATCCAAGCGGGGGGTTGGATGGCTGAATGGTTAGCGTGCGCGCGCTGTATC